GTTAGTCCTGAAGGAGAAGTATTCCTTGAATAGTGTTATAGAATACAGTTAAGTAAAGATATGCTCAAGGGTTGTCATTTTAAGGTTAGTTATTATGTTAGGTTTGATAGGCAACATTGTTTTGTTTTGTTTTTTGTACACATGAATCACGATGTGATGTATGTGTCCAAGGGGGGAAGTATGCAAGGAGTATTAAGGATGTGAGCAGTAGTAATAATGTGTTATGGGTTAGGTTAAATCATTTTTGTTTTTGTAATAGGAGGCATGGTGTAGAGGTGGTCTGTCTATGAAATAAGTGGATGACAACAAGCTGGAAGCAGGTGTGCTTCATAATCTCAAGGCTTCTCTTGACGGATGAGAGGACAGGAGTAGTATACTGTGTCTCACCTAACATAACAATGTTCTTAAGATTTTATTTTCATGAGTGAAGATAACTCTGCCCAACTGAGTAGGATAATCTGAGTATTTTCTGTGCCCTGGAGACTATGTGATGGCAAAAGACTACAGAAGAAAGAGCTGGAAAGACCCTATGTGGAGGGGCCTGCACCAGGGTTGTAGGCTACCTTAATGATGGTAAAAGTGGTGGAGACAGATACTAAGATCCATGTTCCCCACTATAGGAGTGTTCCAACCTCAGCCATTGGGTAGCATTGTTGTCTTTTGTGTGTGTCTGTGCTTGTGTCTTTGCAGCAGTAACTCTGAGCTTCCCTATGGGAAGGCTGAAAGAAGGACACTTTTCACAGACCGATGTTTATAGATTGAGAGGGACTTTGGCTGATCCGGAGACCCTAGTGACGGGGGAAGGTTAACAACAGAAGTGACCTACATATCGTTGTCCAGGTTATACCAACGATGGTACTGATAGAGGGGAGTATTGGGTATCATCTTAACCATTGTACCAGAGTGAGGGAACTGATGATTGAGAGATCCCAGACCTCCAAGACGCACCAGATATCCTTATCATTGATTAATATGTACTAGACTAGTTACCTGAGAATAAGGGGAATGGAGTACTGATAATAAAATAAAGAGCAGAAGAACAAGACATAGAAGGGATATAGACAGGAGTAGAATGTAGATTATTGCACAGGCAGGAACCATAACTAAAAATACAGGAAGGGATCACTATTAAAATACAAGGGTTAAATAGTATTGGTGTGTGAGAAACCAGCACAAAGAGTATGGGGAAGTCACATGGGGTAGTGTGACCTTAGGGTAATGAAAGAAAGAGACAGGTGAATCATAGACATAAGGAAAACAGTCCAATACTTAGATAAACAATTTGATGTAGTATTTGGTGTTAGATTTCCAGGGGAAAGTGTTATTAGAAGAGAGAAGTGTAAGCAATTGTTATGAGCAAAAATATAGGAATGTTACAATAAAACAATTGGGTTATATAATTTGGAAGAATTCAAGGGAGAATGTGAAACATAATGATTTGTCATGTAGACAATGTTAATAGGGATGTTTTGGATTGGAAATTAACTCAACTGAACTGTTATGATCTGTCCTTTCCTGAGGTTACAACGGATGGTGTCGTAATGCATTGCAGAGATCAATTGGCTCAGAACGGTGTAAACCTCAATAAAAACCAAAAATCCTCTACTCGGCTGAAGAGGAACAACAAAGGCGTTGAAGATGTTCCTGTCTGACCCACCTCTGACCTGAATTCAACATCAAATCAAAGCAATCAAATGCTTTCTCTTTTGTGCTTTTTCTTTCAAGAATGTGAGGAAAGATGTCTATGCAAATGCAACATTCTTCCTAATTTGGGTATACTGGTTTGCACATGGACAAAACAGGATGATGGTGGAGGTGTGGTGGTTCAGGTGTGACATTGGAATATGAACTATGAAGAACTATGAAGGACATAATGAAGACGCCAGGAGATTGAGTGCCGGTAGAGGAAGGGAGTGTTTGTTGATTAAGGAGGTATTATACACTACTAAATTTATAGTAATTGGGACAATGCATTAGGGTACTGATCTGATGTAATTCTTGGTATGAGGAAGTTAATGCTAGAATTATTATAATATAAATGTACATTCGGCCAGTATCGATATGTGCCAAGGTGGAGTTTGTGTTATGTTTGGAGATGAATGTTGTACTTTTATCCCCAATAATACTGCCCCGGATGGTTCTTTCACGGAAGCAATGACTAAACTCAAGGGACTACGAAAAGAGGTTAAGGAGAATGCTGGGTATGATGTTCATGTTTGGGACTGGATGGAATTAACTTTGGGAAAATGGGGTGCAATGTTTACAAAAATGGGAATAATGATAGGAATATCACTTGTAGTAATGGGAGTAGTGTTTTGTTGTATACTACCTCTGTTAAAATCACTTTTGATTCAAACCACAGTAAAACAAATGACTGTACAGACAAATGTTACTATTTCAGCCAAAGAAATACACCCAGTTCAGGGAGCTCCAGGACAGTATGTTAATAAATATGGGAAATCTTGTAATGTTAAAGGAGGACCAATGGACTGTCCATTTGGGAATCTTCAATGTCTGTATGGAGTTGTTCCTGGGGGTGGATGGGCCTGTCATGGTTACAAAGCTCAATAGGAAAATGTGGAGGTTAATTTAGAGGAAAACCTTCCGGACTTGTATTCAATACCTGACTGGGCTATGGGTCCTCATCAGGATGGGTCAAGTAATAAGGAAGATATATTGGGTTGAATATGTGTGTGTGAAGTGAAACCAAATGTGGCAAGGCTAAGAATAAGTAACTGCATATGCTTACATATATTTGGCAATTAATCTTTGTATTATTTGGGACAATATTGGAATGTCCCATAGGGGGGATATGTAGGATTATTTTATGTATCATTATGACATGTAGGGAGACGCCAAAGGTAAAATGTAATAAACATGTTTGATATTGTATAATTAAGAAACATGTTTAAATAAGAAATGTAGACATTAAGTGTATGCTATGTTTTAAATGAATGCATGTGTTCTTTCACAGAGGCTGTCAACAGTGTGCATTGCATTAGTTCTTTTTTTAAGAAGGGGGCCTGCGCCACTCAGCCAATAGAATGATAGAATGAAAAGGCTTCATATAGAAAAAGCATTCATGACCTTTTGGAGTGGACATTATGTGACAGCTGGATGTTGAAAAAGAAGGGCGGTGCAGAACTAAAATAAGTTAGGAATGTGCGCATGTTTGTTTATTTGTGTGTATAAAAGAGATCTCTAAGCCAGAGAGAGACAGTTTATCCATGGAGAAAAAACTCAGGCTTTTTGTTATGCAATAAAGAGTCTAAATTCTTGAATTCACAGGCTTCCGTGTCTATAGAGATATTTTGTTTGAGTTGATTATTTCTTAGTCAAATGTTTCTACGACACCTCCCGTCCTCCATCCTTTCCAAGGTTGCAGAATAAAATCTAAATATAATAGACTTGGTAACACAACACTGCTTGGGAACATGCAGAATGGCCCTGAGGCCAGGTTGGAACATGTTGCATCATCCCACCAAAAAGAGCACATTCAATGAAATATCATTTTTTTTTTGTGTTTCTCCAGACCTAAAGGTTTAGGCATAGCCTATATGGTAATTTATTATCAGCTGAACCGAAAGTCCAAATGCCCACAAACGTAGTCACTCGCATTTTCCCTGCAGTCAACAAATGTTCTTATCAGTAGGCTACAGTGTAACCACTTACTGGTATGACTACAGAGATCCAAAAATGGTGATGGAAGCCTTTATTGCTGCCGTTGAAAGTAATAAAAGTTGAATTGACTGTGCCCAGTGGTCAATCATAAAACAGAAGGGTGAGGATTCGGTTTTTGTTTCTGGTCGCATATGCCACTGAACCAGCGTTATTATACAGGCCATATCAATGTTCTTTTCTTTATCGGGTAGCTTTATTTTAATGAAAGCAAATCAAATGTATTAGTCACAGACGCAGTTTCCAGCAGGTATAAAAGGTGCAGTGAAATGCTTATGTGATAGCGCCCTCAACATGTGTTAGCGCCCTCAACGTGTTAGCGCCGTCAACAATGCATTACATCAATCATTAATCAATAATAACAATAAAGAATCAAGCCAAAAATAATCAGTAGTAAAAGTAGCAGAAGATGTAGTCTGCATAGTAATAATGGACTGAATTTACACTGGATTTACATACATAAAGTGGGTAGTAGTATCAATAGTATATATATATTTTAAATATTTGAACAGCAGCATTGACTGTGTGTGTGGGTGTGTGTGCGTGCGCTTGTGTTTGTGTGTGCGTTTCAGGTTAACTAGAACCAACTCCGTAATTTCCCCTTGTTGGACGATCAGGACAACATCGAAACCGTAAACAAGCCCTAAGCTACGGTTGAGAAGAAATCATATGACGCATTTAACTGTAGGCCTTTTACTCACCTGTAATAGTGCAACACTTCAGCCAGGTACGCGCTCTGCATGAAGGGTGGTGATAGGCTGTCGGTAAAGAAGGCGGAAACAAAGCGACAATATTATGTCCAAAAAGGGTGTTTGTTGAACGAGATCATTTTTAGGTACGGATATCTCACCTAGTCAAAACGTCGAAATCAACACATTTACCGGGAAGGGAACAGCAAGATAGTTTTTAAAAAGTGAGTAGCCTACTGTACCTATGATATTCTATTCTATTTAATGTTGTCGACTGACATATTCACATGGTAAATTGCAAGTTGAAGTGGAAATGGTAGGCTACCGTTAATGTTCAAGAAGAAGTCAGATCAGCATTGCGTAAAATACCACGACCAGTGACAACTGTTTTGCAATTTTCTGGCCACCCAATGTTGTGCTTAATCGTTGGTGTAGCCGTATTTCAGAAAATGTAAACGAAAACTTTACTTTAGGCTATTTTACAAGTGAAACCAAAACAACATATCCAAGACGATTATGCAATTGTGTCATCTCATAATGTTGAAAGAAAAACATGAGCATAAATCTAGATATCTTTACAGTAATGATTTTTTTTTTTTAATAATTTTGCATGATCTATTGTAGATTCCTATCATGGAGGTTACAGAGAAGAAGATGCCCAAACAGGCCCAGCTGCTCTATCTGGGCCACAAGGACACCAGTCACCTCTTGGAAGTGTATGTGAAGCGCAGCATCAGTTTAAATGACGGGACATGTGAGGACCAGAGGTCACCAACAAAGCCTCGAAAGTGGGTGACACTGTCAGAGAAACACAGAAGAGTCCACCGGCATTCTATTGACTCCTTGGTCACCTTCGGGCCCAGCAAACTTGACGAGGGCAATGCCACCAGCACACCACCTGACGAGGGCAATGCCACCAGCACACCACCTGACGAGGGCTTTGCTATACCAAATGCGGCTCCTGTAGAAATCCCAGGGCCTGCTGATATTCTTGAGATTGAGGCGTCTACTGAACTGGAGAATAAGTTTAAAGAGGGCAAGAAGAAGAGCAAAAAGACGTCTCTCTGGAAAGGTTTTCTGGGTTTCTTCTCGAGGAAGGGGAGTGACAAGAAAGATGAGCATGAGTCTGGCACAGAGACTGGTCGACAGACACAAGGAAACGTGCCGAAAAATAAATCCATCAAAAAGCAATGGAGCTCCATGAGGAGACGACCTCTGAGAAAAATCAAGAGTGACAGCCTCAGAGGGTCTGTGAGGAGATCATCAGCTCGGAACAGGACCAACACCACAGAAATAACTGGAGTTGAATGTAGGTTTGAGGGGGCATGGCACCCAAACAGTTATCACACACAGTACTGTTTTTTTGTTTTGTTATGGTCCTTTTGTTCAAACGTAGGATTTTGTGGATAATCTTAGTTTAACAATGTTTTGGGAAATTGGGCCCTAGTTGACTCGGGCGCTAGTTGGTAGTCCAATTATTAGAGAGTTAGTTGGTAGTCCAGTTATTAGAGAGTTAGTTGGTAGTCCAGTTATTAGAGAGTTAGTTGGTAGTCCAGTTATTAGAGAGTTAGTTGGTAGTCCAGTTATTAGAGAGTTAGTTGGTAGTCCAGTTATTAGAGAGTTAGTTGGTAGTCCAGTTATTAGAGAGTTAGTTGGTAGTCCAGTTATTAGAGAGTTAGTTGGTAGTCCAGTTATTAGAGAGTTAGTTGGTAGTCCAGTTATTAGAGAGTTATTGCATGAAAAAAAGACTGTTACTTGTTACTCTCTACAGCGGTTGTGAGTGTGGGGCTTACAGACTCGTACTATGAGAAAGTGTCAGAAGAGCTGGAGAAGATTGTGTCTGAGGAGAAAGACACAGCTTCTACAGATGGTAAGTAGCCTATCATCAAGCAATGTTCTCATGTGTATTGATGTCTTATCTAATCGTAATAGAAATCACACATTCAATAGCAACATAAGCATTTTATATATAAACTGTAAAGGTCATGTAATACAGTACATCACTTAAAACTGTGTAGACTTCTATTGACCCTTTCTATCCATTTCTTCCAGAGGACGTCATCAAAAGGATCATTGTTCTGATGAAGCAGCAAGGAGACGTCATTGATAACAAGGTTTGTGTTCATAACCTACAAAAAATTGTTTTATTGTATCTGAGAAACTTAACACAGTCTATCTTTGACACTAAATGTATCTTTCACATCCAGGATAGCTTGCTATAGCCTGGGTACCAGTGTGTTTGTGCTAACATTCCACCCCTTGTACTCAGTGTCCTATGCCAAACATGTTTGGTAAATGGCACAGAGTATAAGGTGGGGAACGTTGGCACAAAACGGGTCTGGATTTCCGGCTAAATTTGCTATTTTCTCATGGATAATAACGTATTATTCTATGTTCACTCATGAAAGTATGTCCTGCTCTCGCCATAGCTGAAGGAAAACCCCAGCCTGAGCGCATTCTTCCAGAAGCTATCCTACAGTACCTTCCAGCAGTTGGCTGATACGTACGTGGAGACAGAGACCCCTACAGGCCAGAGCCGCCAGACACCACACACTGCTGGGCCTGGGCCCGGGCCCGTCAACGCCCCGGAGCTGGTCAAGCTGGCCTTCACTCTGGACTTCACAGCCAGGGTGGCCTGTCTCTCCAGACAATCCACAGGACACATCATGGGCCTGGGCAACCGCTACTTAGAGGACCGCTTCACACAGACACCAGAGGCAAGAGTCAGCCCTGTTTTTTCTTCTAATTAGAATGTATGTAATTATGTGTAAATCACAGGAGGTTGGTGGCTCCTTAATTGGGGAGAACGGGCTTGTGGTAATGACTGGAGCGGAGTCAGTGGAATGGTATGAAATACGTCAAACACATGGTCGCCAGGTGATTGATGCCATTCGCGCCGTTCCGGACATTATTATGAGCCCTCAGCAGCCTCCTGTGGGGTAATTAAACTAAACTAGAGGTCAGAAGGGATAGTGACACAGAAACACCGCCAACACACAAGTTAAAACCTGTTTTGTACCTTTAACCACAGTGCTGTTAGCAGGTGAATCAAGGAAGATAAAATATGTTTCTAATGACATTTATGTTGCTTTGCAGGTTAATCCAGATCAGACGTTGCATAACTAGGATGGTCCTAATCATTTATGCACCACCACATGCAAATGAGACCAACTACTGCAGGGGAAAGTAAACATATTCATTATTGGAATAGCACATGGACTGTTCCCTGAGACACAAATAAAACCCAGAGGCAAGTCACCCAGGGAACACCACATGACAACCACTTATAGTAGGCCTTGGACCAGTAAATCTACACTAGTCAATCTATATAACTACTATGTGTACAGGTTAGCAAGTAAAATATATGCACTATGGACTTACCACTCGTGGTGCATTCTGTATTTACTTACTTGAATTAGTGATAGTAAGTACAATGTAGCCTACAGTTACTGCATGTACTTGCTACAAGGTATAGGTACATAGGTTATCTCCCTACAGCAGGGTTTCCTCATCCTGGTTCTGGGGACCCCAAGGGGGGCACATGTTTGGTTTTGCCCCAGCTCTACACACCTGATTCCACTAATCAAATGTTTGATGATGAGTTGATAAGTTGCATGAGGTGTGTAGTGCTAGGGCAAGAACTAAAATCTGAACCCCCCAGGACCAGGATAATGAAACACGGCCCTACAGTAACCCTAGAGTCATTAATTGTTTCTGGGGATTCTACTTATGACACGTGAAAGAATAAGAACCAAACTATTGATCAAAGCCATTTATGTAGCAATATTTCCAGGTGGTATAAATATATTTTCTCTAATACTGTGGTCCTGTGTGGCTCAGTTGTTAGAACATGGTGCTTGCAACGCCACGGGTCAATTCCCGCTGGAGCCACCCATACGTTAAATGTATGCACGCATGACTGTAAGTCGCTTTGGATAAAAGCGTCTGCTAAATGGCATATTATATTATTATTATTATTATATATATATTATTATTATTTCTACAATGTCAATGTTTTACAGCATTTTTAGAATGCACTTTACAGCAGTTTACACAGTGCACTTAGTATTAGTGCAATTACATGAAAATTGCTGCATAATTGTATTTACTTTTTAAAATAACAATTATAATTATTGGCAGTGCAATCTTTAGTTTCATCATTGTTTATGGGTGAACAACTGCTAATGAAACTTGTGACATTTATATAGATGTGTATGCAGGCATTCACACTTTGTAACATTTAATAAATTATATTTTTGTTAAAAAGCCTACTACTTCTACTGATTGAAATGCATTATTTGATGGTACCTTGGTTGATACAGTATCAGCATTTGACATTGATTAGATAATTGCCTAACTGTCCTTCAAGAGAAAGAGAGCTGAATTCTTTCAACTGTGTCAGAGCTTTGAGTAAGAAAATAAAGCGACGGCCTCTTCATTTGTTGACCTCTTACGTACTTTTATTAAATGAACCAAGTTCCACTTAACCTCAGCAAAACAGTTGGTCAAGGTGAAAAAGGCTTTAACATTGTCTCAATCTAAAGCTATTAGTATTCATCTAACAAAATAATGGTGTTGATTAGGATCCTATCAAACACTGATAGTAACCATATAGCAAAATATGTCCTCCTGCTTGCTATTTCACTCCTTTCTTATACCCAAGGCTATAAATTCCTACCGCCAGTGGGCGAATGGAGTTTGCCGTTCAAGATGTGATTTGCATCTCTGCCGGGTAGCCCCCCACTCATAGGACTGGCACTCACTTGATGAACAATACCAACGATCAAATACCTGAAAGTAATCTGATTAAACTAGTTCAGGTGTAATACATGTCCTGTGGAACTTTGGCCACAGTCATTACATGTCTTAAGTCTGACTGCTACAGTGGGTTTTTTTTTTATTGACCTTTATTTAATCAGGGAGTCACCATTGAGACCAGTGTCTCTTTTACAAGGGAGCCATGCATATACAATGTCATAAAATACATCATAAATCTAATACAATATAAGTAATACCTACTACTTTACCTGGAAGTCAGCTGATAAGGGATATGATGAGGGAGTTGTTTTGACTATGTGATGTGACTAAGAGGGACTGTACCCTGATCATCATTCCTTCCCGTCACTGTGCATCCTGGAGTGAGAATGGAAGAGCGTAGCAGAAAGAGGGCTTTTGTGCTTATTGCCTCATGCGGCACATGAGAGTTGACTTCACTAAACTGGTTCAACATACAGTATACTTCAAAGTACAAACTAGTTTTGAATTGGATACAGGCATGCTTAGGTCTGCTATTCATCTGCTGAGAAAATCACATCCCTAACCATGTGACCTGATCAGGAAAAACTCCTGACCCTAAAGTCAGCCAACATTAGCCAGTATTGGCACACTCCATAGGAAGGCTGTGGAGGAGAGCTAACCCTTCCTCCACCTCATCCCCTCCCTGTGACATCCTCTCCTCCTCTTCCTCCACCCCTATGTAGGAGATGTGTGGGGAGGCCAGGGTCTCCTCTTCATTTATGCAGGGGCCATACTCCAGTGGCAGCAGCCTCTCGCTGTGATGGAGTAGAGACTGGTTGTTGGGCTGATTGGGCTGGTTGTCCATCGCTAGTTCCAGGTTGAAGAGGAGGGAGAAGCCCAGGGGGTCAGGGTGGCTCTCGGTTGGGGTGTTGGGGGTCTCGGTTGTGTAATGGGTGCTGGTGGTGGAGAGCTGGAACCGCAGGACGGAGCGACGGCGCTGCTGTGGAGGAGGATCCTCTGCACTCTTAGACTGTGTATGTGTTTCTTTGGCAGACGCCAGAAAGCGTAGGGGCCACAACCTGATAAGATTGCAGGGCCACAACCTGATAGGATTGCAGGGCCACAACCTGATAGGATTGCAGGGCCATAACCTGGCAGGACCAGAGGGCCACAACCTAAAAGCATCACAAAACAGTGTGTAAGAGAGAGCACTGGCTGCACTAGCCTGACTGAGAGTGTTATGGGAAAGTAGTCGGTAGAAGAGAGATTAAAATGAACATGTCTGACAGACAGGAGCTACCCACCAGGCAATGACAGATCAACATTCAATTTTGATTGACACTTCATAATTGCCCACAGTTTAAAATGAACCACACCTAGAAATCCTGTAGTCAAGTTGGTTGAAATCAGGGTTAACCTGACAAGAAAATCTATTGAAATCAGATCCACCAACCACGTTGATATCATGCAATAACCAGACATTATTTTGAAATAACAAATGGTGACTCAACCAATTCTCACCTGATGGGGAAGCTCTTGCCAGTAACACCATGGTGTTTGTGTGGCATATGATTTCCAGTAACTGGGATCGCTGTCTTACAGCTAATATGATCAGACAGTGACGTCTCACCTGTGCACGAGGTTCTTCCTGGGGTCAGAGAGCTTTAGAAGAAACAGCATGGCCATTTCGACACCCTGCCACAGCCACTTCCCTGGGACTTGGCGGAGCCAACACAGCACCCTGGGGGATGTACAGTACATGTGACCACAAGTTGAAGCAAAAAAAAACATACAGACACAAATGTAGAAATTGTAATATGGTATGAACACAAGCAGCGGTCTAAGGTACTGCATCTCAATGCTAGAGGCGTCACTCCAGACCCTGGTTCGATTCCAGGCTGTATCACAACCAGCCATGATTGGGAGTCCCATAGGGCGGCGCACAATTGGCCCAGCGTCGTCCGGGTTTGGCCGGGGTAGGCTGTCATTGTAAATAAGAATGTGTTCTTAACTGACTTGCCGAGTTAAATAAAGGTTAAATAAGATAAAACTAATAACATGACAGAAAGAGACATAGTTACAGTATGTAACTAAGGGGTAGACTGTACCGAATGTGTACTGTAAACACTGCATCAGTTCACAGCTAAGTTTACGCTAGGAAATCCCCGGACATGTCTATGAATTGTCTATGAAGTTTCCATAATTCTGCTTATTTTAATGGTGTTAGTCATAATAACTATGCTATCATGTTTTGATTGATGGACATTTTATAGTCAGTGGGGTAATGTGATTGTTTTCTTTGTTCTTTTGATCAATTCAACGTGGTTGTTGTTTGTCTAGACGCTAGTATTGAGCAGCACCTGTAGTTGACATGGAGGAAGATGGAGGCTGGCAGTGTGTAGGGCAGCAGCAGGTAAGACAGCAGACGGGCTGGGAAGAATGAGTTGTTTACGCCACATTTAGCCATGAGGTTACACAGCAATGCTGAAACAGTAGACAAAACAAGCACAACTATATCAAAAGGTTGGCTGGTCCTCATTAAAGTCCCATAGATCAATTCTTTACTCCCTTTTTGTTTACAAAGCCCTAATACACTAGCTTCCAACTTACCTTACTTTGTTGTTATAGTATTAAAAAAAACATGACATACCAAACCCGCTCACAGGGTTGGTTAACTCTCGAGTCTCCACCGAATTAGGTAAATCCTAAAATACACTGCAATTAGACGCTCTGATGCTGCTTGGGCAATTTAAAATATTGATTGGGGAACTATTTGCTCAGGAACGTGGCTGTTTTTCTTGATTGTTTGTTGAGCTGTATTTTAGTTTGTTTTTGTCCTATCTGATTTTGTTTTGATTTTGTCTATGATTTGTATATGCAGGGCTCCCTTGTGAAAGAGACCCTGGTCTCAATGGTGAATCCCTGTTTAAATAAAGGTAAAATAAAACAAGGTTATAATGATATTATAACAGTCTTGGCTGTCAAAGGTGAAGAAACCATAAAACAAAACTTGAATGTGAGAGAGAAATGTTTTATGTTTCACTATTGAGCAACGTTTATAATTGTCTCACCCATCTGGGCATGGCCTCACAGTTAAGGGACAGCTGAATTCAGGGCAGAAGTTGTGGCTAAATGCCCACTAACAACGCAGCAGTGGCACGACATGGTGATGTGGCGTGTGGGTGGTGTCGTCGTGCATACCTCCCTGGACCCACGGTGGCAGGGCGAGATATACAGCTTTCTCTAGAGAGCTCAGGTTCCACCTCAGGTCCTCCAGGCCATGGCAATACTCCTCAGGCAACTCTGGATCCAGCTCTGAGTCTGTCAATACGTCACCTTTCTGCTCCTCTTCCTCCTCTATTGTTACGTCCTCTTCCTCCTCTTCTTTCAGGACAGGCTGTGAGTCGGTGTCACTCCCCAGAGAGGACTGGGAATGAACATTTCTCATCCTTACTAGAGGGTGCTTCATATCTGCAACACATTTGAATTTGGTTGAACTTTTGACTCTGGTCTATTTATACATTGTAATAACTACAGCTATCATCAGTGTAGTATGAATCTCTTTACACAAAGCGATGAGGTCATTTGTCTTCAAAACAAAGGCATCACGTCCACAAGGATCTTAGTGTACAGCAGTGGAGGCTGCTGAGGGGAGAACGGCTCATAATAATGGCTGGAAAGGAGTAAATGGAATGGTATCAAAAACATGCATGTGTTTGATACCATTCCATTCACTCCATTCCAGCCATTATTATGAGCCGTCCTCCCCTCAGCAGCCTCCACTGGTGTACCTAGACATTTCAAAGCAAACTAGTTGAGAAAAAAACAACTATTCACACTTTTATTGTCATGCATACAGTTAAAGGGTAACACTTGCCTCTGTTATTTGCATATTTCATTTTCCTGGGAGTTAGATACAGGCACAAGGAGAGAAGTAGGAGCAGGGGGAAAGGGGTTGAGTTCCTCCCACAACCAGCAGTGTGGAGTTGACACTGGACAGGGATATTTGACCAGGCACTGTTAGGACTGCCAGACTATGCCATGTTGCAAGGTGAAACTATTTTTAGTGGACACCATGACTCGAAATGCCCTGGCAACAGACAGTTTCATATTTATATATTTACTTTTTAACCTTCAAGTAGATATTCTGGAAAATGTTTATTTGTAAGTGGCATTGTCTGTAAAGATGCCATTTTATAAACCACCTTCTGAGAGAAAATGTGTACTAAACAAAATCTGGTATTTAATTTATCCACAAGATGTCACTGCTGTGTCATGAATGGCAGTAGACCATTTCTCATCCCCCTTAGATATTGTTAAAGATGCCAAACACATCCACAAATAACACAGGCGGAATACAGGAGTCATAATAATAATATGCCATTTAGCAGACGCTTTTATCCAAAGCGACTTACAGTCATAGATGGGACCTGATCTGCATGGCACTGTATGCAGCCCACCAACCAGAGAAGTAGTTTCACATGCAAACATGTTAAGTACGTATCAGTGACATTTGAGTCCAAATACACTATATATACAAAAGTATGTGGACACCTCTTCAAATTACTGTATTTGGCTATTTCAGCCACACCTGTTGCTGACAAGTGTATAAAATCGAGCACACAGCCATGCAATCTCCATAGACAAACATTGGCAGCAGAATGGCCTTACGGAAGAGCTCAGTGACTTTCAACGTGGCACAATCATAAGATGCCACCTTTCCAACAAGTCAGTTCGTCAAGTTTCTGCCCTGCTAGAGCTGCCTCGGTCAACTGTAAGTGCTGTTGTCGTGAATTGGAAAAGTCTAGGAGCAACGGGCGCCGGAGGGGATGGCTGCCATTTTACAGGCTCCTAATCAACCGTGCTATTTTGTTTGTTTTTTTGCATTGTTTGTTACTTATTTTGTACATAATGTTGCTGCTACCGTCTCTTATGACCGAAAAGAGCTTCTGAACATCTTAACAGCGATTACTCACCTCGAACTGGACAAAATGAGTCCGACGCGAAGGATATACTGCTTTCTCGAGACCAGGGCCAAATCCCCGTCATTGAAATTTCTGGGACTCTTTATTTCAGCTCATGAATCATGGGCCCAACACTTTACATGTTGCATTTATATTTTTGTTCAGTGTACTAAGTCAATTCATCCAAATACTTGACACCTTCAAATGGGGGGACTATATACATAAAGTGCTTTCATTTCTAAACGGTAAAACAGATGTATGAAAATACCCTCAAATAAAAGGTGACATTCTGTACTGTCACCTCAAACAATTGATCTCAAATCCAAAATGCTGGAGTAGAACCAAATTAAAATGTTTAGCTTCACTGCCCAAATAAATACGTAGTTGAGACTACCTCAAAAAGCACAGTAAAACAGATGTATAAAAATACCCTCAAATAAAAGGTGACATTCTGCACTGTCACCTCAAACAATTGATCTCAAATCCAAAATGCTGGAGTATAGAGACAAATTAAAACGTTTAGCTTCACTGTCCAAATAAATACGTAGTTGAGACTACCTCAAAAAGCACACACAATAGTCGGTACAATTACCTCAACTTCAAGTATTGTTGATTCTAAACTTTACCATGTCTAAAACGTAAATCCCATGCTATTCTGTGAACAAAAGGGAGCAAAGAGAAAAACCCATACCAGGTGTGAAACGCAGAACTCCTAAGTGTTTACTGTTCTTGATATTTTATAATCCAACAAGGTTTCTTTTTTTGTTGGTGCACAGATTAGCAAATTAATCCTAACTGCGCCACTGCACGCAAAAAATGTATTTCCCCATATCAAGAAAATGTGGTAGTTGCCAAAAGGAACACTATTGTTCCGCCAGACTTCAGGTTTGGCACAGGCCAAGGTCAATATCTCAGTGGGCTACACAATGTGTTTGTGTCATCGTAACATTCACTTTCCCCTTTAACAATCCTACAATATTTAACAGTTATGATAATGATAAAGTAATGAAGATATATTTATTTTTTTAAGACAAGAACGATAGTGGCTTTCTTGTAACGATTTCCATTTATTATTGGTTTTTCAACCTCTAACGGAAGGAAGATTAATCAAAGAGTCCGAATCCCATGTCATCATCAGATCCCTCTTCAGATTCCTCTTTCTCCTCCTTTTTCTCTTCCGCTGCACAGAGACACAAACATAGGTTAGTTTCACATTTGGGAGCCTATCCCCAAAACGCATAGACCATTTCCAGAAATACATATATCAAAGTGCATTTAAAATATCAAGCGTTTTCCTCGAAATGTGTTGTTTCATGCAATTGATTTCAAATAAATGTGTTTCAGTCCGTTGAAATGAATGACTCCCTACTATGAGTGCTTACCAGCAGCAGGAGCAACGCCAGCCGCAGCAGACCCAGCAGCAGCAGGAGCCGCCACAGCACCACCTGCTGGCACGGAGGCCAATTTAGAGAGACCTGCAAAGAGTAATGGAGCAATTAATTGACAAGTAATTTAGACTATACAGTGAATGGTAGTTTCATGACATTTGCACCTATATGCTATCTACAGACTAAAGTCTGAATCACATGATGGTGCCAAACCAAGCTGTACTGGGAAAATATCTCAGCCAACAGTACCGTTCGGGTTGGCCTTATAGTGTAAAACTGGCATAATTATCATGTATGAATTCACGAGTCAAATCAAAGACATAAGGACAATGCCTCACCAGAGTTCATGACTTCATTGATGTCTTTTCCATTCAATTCTTTGACAACCTGTGGAGACAAATTCAGGTTCTTATCATCACCAGTTACTGTGTAAACCAAGGCCTCTGTCCTGCAATAGTGTCGAAGTACACAAAAGTAACTCAGTTTCTTCTCAAAATACAAGACAGCGTCGCCCTAAACGGTTCCATACCTTGTCTAGGCGCTCATCATCGGCCTCGATTCCTACACTCCCCAGGATGGTCTTGATATCCTTGGAGGAGGGGCTGGTGTTGCCACCGAGCACAGCCAGGAGGTAAGCGGCCACGTAACGCATTCTGCACGCGAGAGGATGTAGAAGAAGAAAAAGCTGTTAGTTGGATTATTATATATTGGCCTACTTGAAATGCACTCTCTGGATATTCATATTGGCTTTATCCACGTCTATGAGGATATGACTTGCCGAATTAGTTAACGACTATTATTATTTTTATTTATTTTTTACATTTGAGTCATTTAGCAGACTCTTATCCAGAGCAAATTACAGGAGCAATTAGGGATAAGTGCCTTGCTTAAGGGCACAGACAGATTTTTTCACCTAGTGGGCATGATGATTCTAACCAGCCACCTTTCGGTTACTGGGCCAAGACTTAACTGTTAGGTTACCTGCCGCAATGATCAATATTGTATTAGTTAATGAATAAAATACTGGTCATTTCTTGATTGTCTCCTAGTTAGCCCAGTGTTTCCCAAACTAGGTCCTATGGGGCGCACATTTTGTCCTAGCAGAACACAGCCGATTCAAGAAATCAACTCAAGTTTTGATTATTTGAATCAGTGTTATGGCAAAAACCTACATTTGCATCCCTTGGCCCCCAGGACTGAGTTTGGGAAACGCTGACCTAGCCAATGATACTGCCATAAGAATATAGCTAACAAGCCGCGCATGCGCCAAATGGGCATCATTGGAGCAGGTAATAGCTAACTAACGTTAGTTATTAAGTTATCAAACTAACATCTAACTAAGCTCATGACACGTGAAAACTCAAACAATAAATACATTCTGCCTAACTACAACAAAAGGGGCATTGTAAAAACGTTTTGAAGAAGTAAGAATTCACATACAGATAAAGGCACTGAAATGTGTTCGTGGTGCTCATGCAATATGTTGCAATGGTGTCATGTTAGTTAACTAGCAAACGCTGACGTTAGCTTCTATAAAGCTAGCTAGCAACACTAGCACGCGCCTTTTTTTTTTGCTAACGTGGTACATTTGTTGTACAGAATAGCTTTTTATAATATACCTGCACATGAAAACATCTTAACTATTATACTGAAGCCGTTTTGATGGTCTAACCCGTATTAAATAGATGAACTTACTTTAAGTCTAAACAGACACGAAACGTCGGTCACGCTGAATTTTCCGGAAGAGAAAGAGGGTCGTCACCGGAAGCTAGAGGAATTTGCAGTGCCCAGATATTATTGGTCCATCCTCACGCCTCGTCAAAAGAAAATAAACTTGGATGAGATGCTCCTGACGAATGAAGTGTCGGTATGTGTGAAGACATTATCACCATAAATGGTTCTAGGATCTTTCCATTTCTTCGCGACATAACTAGGACTAAAACATGTTTTTATTAACATGATTTTCAGCAGCAACACATTTTGTCCAGCAATAAGTCAAGCCATGACAAAATTAAATGATTATTTGGAATGTGTGATTCAGGCTAGGGGTAGGCTAATTTCGTGTGAAACCGAAGAATATCTATTATATTGACAAGATAATCGAGTGACCGCTCTAACAATGGAAATACATGTCTTTAAAGATGGAAGGCAGACGGTAGGAGGCAAGATCAGATATAAAGTCGTTTTTTTGTTGCCGAAATGCCACATGCGCCCACTTATATCAGTGCATTCGTAACAGCCTAACCATTAAGAAACGTCTATTCGATCAAATAAGCCTCATGTAGCAAATTAGCAATTCCATTTTTTGTTGACCAAATTCGACACTTCTCATTGATTCCTCACTTCGTAGTCCTATTTTCATGAACTGGCATTGGTATATATCCAGAATATGGGCCCCTGGTATGGCCCCCAAAGCATGGACCCAAATAGGCTATCAAACATAAACCATGCAGAAGAATAATAACTATTGAGTTTATTGAATAACTGACAATCTTGGAGTTCAGATTACATCTAGTTGATTTCCTTGCGCACATTTAGTAACAAACAAAAACAGGATTTCCAAACAGACAAAACAATCAATCACATTTCAAATATTTCTGTCAAACCAAAGTAGCCTACTGACAAATAATAATCTCTGGTGTGGTGATCATAATGTGTTAGGCATCTCTGTCAATGTCACTGTCCAATAGGCCTACAGTTCAATCATCTCCTCCCCTTCGTCCTGGGCGAACAGGTATGTGGCAAAGTCGAACAAAAACACCTTAATCTTATGACAGTTTGACACCCACCACGTTTTGTCAATAAACTCCCCAAACAGCAGAAAGAGGGAGAAGATGACAGAGGCAATGACGAAGACGAGAAAGCAGCGGTAAGTGTAGTAGGTCATCTTCTCCTGGCGGGTCTTCTGATCCCAGGGCACGACGTTGCGGGCCTCGACATAGCGGATTAAGTGTAGCAAGGCAGCATCGTCCTCCCCGGTCATCCCCCCCAAGGCCTGTAGCAAGGCAGCTTCCTCCTCAGTCACCCCCCCCAAGGGCTTCTCGGCCACCATCTCCTTCTCATCTTCAGTAACCCCGTCTCCCTGTGCCATCTTTCTAAGACTTCCTCTATCGGGCGATTCTATGAATCACGCCACCCTAAATCCTCTAGTTCAGGATTTCAGGTTTTTTAGATTTCAACGGTCAGAAAACTGAAGAACAATGAGAGATGGAGAGAATCTGGTGATTATAGTTTTACAGCACCCATACTGCTTGAGTGTCCGTCCTGAAGATTGGTATCCAGTCTGTCGATCAGCACTCTCGGATCTCTGATAGCTTAGCTTCCATCGTCACCTCTTCTGTTGTTGTCTGGCTTATTTTTTGTTTATCCTTTGAATGTTTTTTTCAACTAGAAGCATTCATGATCTCACCCATGCGTTATACTGTCTTGTTTTGTCTCTGTCGGAGCTCAAGCGTCTCCCAGGACAGCTTGTGTTGGATTGGCTGTAGGGCAGAAATCTCCAGGCAGATTAGTGAGGTCAGGACGCCTCACTAAGAAGATATAAGAGATTAAAAACAGTGGTGTAGTGGAGGGTAAATGCAAGTAAACGTAGTTTAGCCACTTTTTTTTTTTTGCTCGACAGTTTCCCACCTTTTGCGGAAAAAGCATTAAAAGGAAAGGGAGCATTACTTTTTTTTCCCACTACATCACTGATTAGGAGCCTATTCAGATTGAAGAGAGTTGAAGTAGAGGCAATGCTACGAGATTCAATTTACATAAATATGCAGAAATCGCACCGCCATTTCCAGGTTGCTAAAATTCTAATAGTTCGCTTAATTCCAGTTTGTGACAAAACAAGCAAGTATAGTGTAGAGAATCATTGTACCATCTAAACCACTGTGAAATATATTTTCCATAACCAAAAATATTGTATTTTCAGCTGTTTGAAGCTGCTGTACAAAACCGAAAGTAAAAGATGCAAAAACGAAACGTAAGAAAGGGAACCATATAAATTGCACGCCTAGAACAGATCTACCTCTTCTTATACTTGTTTTCATTGAGAATGGCAGATCTATAACACATATTTGGTTGGGTTGCCCAAAAAGTTACTTATTGCAGCTTTAACTTTTAAAGTGACATTATCAACGGAATGTCACGTGCCGAGAGAGAGGCTTCATGACACACATTCTTGCTCCACAGCTCAAATTTATTGTAAATATCCCAGTATAGCCACTAGCCAGTAAGCATGATTTTAACAAACTGTTCAACTATGCAAGCCTCTTTTCATCATATAACACTCTTGAATAATGCAACCAAACCACATTACACTCTTGAATAATGCAACAATTCACAACCATGTTGGACAATTAAAGAGTTTATTTTCTTGTCCGTAGACTCATTACATTTTAGCTTCAAGACAATAGCACAGCTACTGCTAGCTAGCTACCCACTGGGCACAGACATATAGTTGAAGTCGGAAGTTTACATACACCTTAGCCAAATACATTTAAACTCTGTTTTTCACAATTCCTGACATTTAATCCTAGTAAAAACTCCCTGTCTTAGGTCAGTTAGGATCACCACTTTATTTTAAGAATGTGAAATGTCAGAATAATAGTAGAGAGAATGATTTATTTCATATTTTATTTATTTCATCACATTCCCAGTGGTTCAGAAGTTTACATACACTCAATTAGTATTTGGTAGCATTGCCTTTAAATTGTTTAACTTGGGTCAAACGTGTTGGGTAGCCTTCCATAAGCTTCCCACAATAAGTTGGGTGAATTTTGGCCCACTCCTCCTGACAGAGCTGGTGTAACGGAGTCAGGTTTGTAGGCCTCCTTGCTCGCACACGCTTTTTCAGTTCTGCCCACACATTTTCTATAGGATTGAGGTCAGGGCTTTGTGATTGCCACTCCAATACCTTGACTTTGTTGTCCTTAAGCCATTTTGCCACAACTTTGGAAGTATGCTTGGGGTCATTGTCCATTTGGAAGACCCATTTGCGACCAACCTTTAACTTCCTGACTGATGTCTTGAGATCTTCCTTCAATATATCCACATAATTTTCCTTCCTCATGATGCCATCTATTTTGTGAAGTACACCAGTCCCTCCTGCAGCAAAGCACCCCCACAGCATGATGCTGCCACCCCTGTGTTTCACGTCGGCTTGCAAGCAATCCCCTTTTTCCTCCAAACATAATGATGGTCATTATGGGCAAACAGTGCTATTTCTGTTTCATCAGACCAGAGGACATTACTCCAAAAAGTACAATCTTTGTCCCCATGTGCAGTTGCAAACCGTAGTCTGGCTTCCTTGCTGAGCGGCTTTTCAGGTTATGTCGATATAGGACTCGTTTTTCTGTGGATATAGATCATTTTGTACCTGTTTCCTCCAGCATCTTCACAAGGTCCTTTGCTGTTGATCTGGGATTGATTTGCACTTTTCGCACCAAAGTATGTTCATCTCTAGGGAAAAGAACGCGTCTCCTTCCTGAGCGGTATGATGGCTGCGTGGTCCCATGGTGTTTATACTTGCATACTATTCTTTGTACAGATGAACGTGGTACCTTCAGGCGTTTGGAAATTGCTCCCAAGGATGAACCAGACTTGTGGAGGTCTACCATTTTTTTTCTGAGGTCTTGGCTGATTTCTTTTGATTTTCCCATGATATCAAGCAAAGAGGCACTGAGTTTGAAGGTAGGCCTTGAAATACATCCACAGGTACACCTCCAATTGACTCAAATAATGTCAATTAGCCTATCAGAAGCTTCTAAAGGCATGACATCATTTTCTGGAATTTTCCAAGCTGTTTAAAGGCACAGTCAACTTAGTGTATGTAAACTTCTGACCCACTGGAATTGTGATACAGTGAAATAATCTGTCTGTAAACAATTGTTGGAAAAATTACTTGTGTCATGCACAAAGTAGATGTCCTGACCGACTTGCCAAAACTATAGTTTGTTAACAAGAAATTTGTGGAGTGGTTGAAAACGAGTTTTAATGACTACAACCTAAGTGTATGTAAACTTCCGACTTCAACTGTAAGTTCAACGTTTCGTTTTTATTTACATTTGGTTGAGTTTTCAACTAATGTGAATTCAACATGAAATCAATAAAAAATGTGCCATGTCATTGGATTTAGGTTAAAAGTTGGGTAAAAAAAAAGACGAAATGCCCTTAAGTTGATAACTTTTTGCAAATCCAATAAGTTTTCCACATTGATTCAATGTCATCACATTGATTTTTGGGTTGAAATGACGAGGAAACGACTTTGATTCAACCAGTTTTTTTTCCCCAGTGGGTAGCTAGCTATAGCTAAGAACATGTGTCATCTTGTAACGTTAGCCTATATATATATATAAAATAACAATTACCCCTCTCATACAAATTATAAAAGTACAGTAGTCCTACCTTACAACTTTAGCTTATCAAAGTTAAGAACAAACCAGGCTTCATTTTTATAAATATCACGCAAATCATTACATGTGGTGAAAGGAAAGTGTGACTGAAAACATGGGTAATTCACTGGGGAGTTGATCAGATGCTTGCTGGCCAAATGTATATTTTCCGTCCATCATCACCTCTCGCCCAAGAAAATTCAGCTTGGACGAGATGCTCCTGACGAATGAAGTGTTGGTATGTATGAATACAATATCACCATAACGGTTCTAGGATCTTTCCATTTCTTCGAGACATAACTAAGGACATAAACAAAACAAAAATTAACATGATATCCAGCAACAACACATTTCGTCCAGCAATAATTCAAGCCATGATGAAATAAATTGCG